GAAATCAAAAGAAAACGGTTGAATCCGTCAACACAACAATACAAATAATAAAATTAAATTTCTACACGTGAAAATAATCTTTTCAAACAAAGTAATTGACGTAATTTTTCAGCTGACCATATGAATATACAATAGCGTTTCTAAATTCTTCTGCTTGCTAACGACGTTTTGTTTTTATAGATATTTTGTTTCAACAAATTAATTTCATTTTTTGCCTTTAAAAAGTCCACACTGGATGAAACGCTTCGGCTAAAACAAGTTTTCCTATTGTCTTTGTCCTTAATGCATATTGTCTTTTCTACAAGTTAATTCTGAGTTATTATATATATATATATATATATATATATATATATATATATATATATATATATACGTATGCGTGTTTATTTGCGCGAGTGTTCGCGCGTACGTATTGATACTTTTAGATAGTCATACTAAAAGGAGCGAGGAAATGATTCTCTCCCCACCCCACAAGTCGTACTGGGAGGTAATCAATATTTGATTAATGAACGCGTGTTCGCATACGGACAGAACACACACATATACACATCACATATATGTGTGTATGGCTGTCTGAAAAATTAAGAGGAGGAAAAGAAAGATTGATAGAGTTGTAAGATTTTATTGAGAGAAGCAATTTTTAAGAACAAGTGGAATGTTAAAAATCATAGAGAGAGAGATGGAGAGAGAAAGTGAAGTATGAAAGCGAGAGAAGTAGAAAAGAGAAAGAGAAGTGGGGAAGAGGGAGAGAGAGAAGTGGGGAAGAGGGAGAGAGAAGTGGGAAAAATAAAGAGAGAGAAGTAGGAGGGAGACAGTGAGAGAGAAGTGGGAAAGAGTGGGAGAGAGAGAGAGAGAGAGAGAGTGAAAAATGAAAGAGAAAGCTGAAGACACCAAAAAGAGAAAACGGTTTAAAAGCGCGCGCGCGCGCGAGCGAGCGAGAGAGAGAGAGAGACAGAGAGAGAGACAGAGAGAGAGACAGAGAGGGGGGGATTATATAAAATGAAAGCATGAAGATTGGAAAGAATGAAAACTATTCGACATGAAGAGTAAGGAAATGAGAGAAGAAAGAGGAAAACAGAATATAAGCAAAGGAGAAAATCACTCGAAAGAAAGAGAATGAGAAAAAGAGATACTTGGAAAGTATGTAACCGAAGAAAACATAGCAAGGAAAAAGAAAGGGAAAATTGGTAGAGGAAAAAGAGAAAGCGAAAGAGGGAGAGAGAGAGAGAGAGAGAGAGAGAGAGAGAGAGAGAGACTAGAGGAAACCACTTGAAAAAAGAGAACTTAAAAAGGCATGTATGAGTCAAAGCTATCGGTGGGTGGGGAGAAACTTGTAGTTCTAGAAGAGAGGAAACCATCCAAAAATTAGAGAGAGTGAGAGAGAAAGAGAGTGAGAGAGAAAAATCGAAGATAGTGTAGAAACTATCTGAGAGAAAGAAGAGAAAGAAGAGAAAAATACTTGAAGATGAAGAAAATAGAAAACCATAATGTTTGTGTGTATGTAAAGGTGAAAGAAAAATTGGACATAGTTAAACGTGGAGAGGGAGAGAAAGAGAGAGAGAGAGAGAGAGGGAAGAAGAAAGGGAGAAAAACTTGAAGATAAGAATATGAGGTAATCATCATCAGAGAAAGAGAGAGAGAGAGGGGAGAGAGAGAGGAGAGAGAGAGGGTGATGGAGAGAAAAATAACTCTTTGAAAGTAAGAACTCATTGTCCAAGAAAAAATGTTGCAAGCTCTGACTACATTATTAAAGTTAGAAAATAAAACAAATTAAAAGGCATAAAGCGATCGACAGAAAATAACAGGTAAAAACTAAGTAAGAACAAAATTAAACAAGCAAATAAATAAATAAAAATGAAAAAAAGATAAAAAGACCATATAAACAATAATAAACCGATAAAAGAAGAAATGAAATATGAACACGTGGATATATAAATAGTTCACCAGTGCATGAAGTACAGATAGAAGGAGTGAGAAGGTGCACAAAAATCGGTTTGTTTAGGGGAAAATAATTCTTTGACGATGCTGACGTCAGCGCCACAGAACGAAGACTGAAGAAGAAACAGCTGAGATACTCATACACATACGCACAAAAAAGAAAAGAAAAGAAAAGAAAAGAAAAGAAAAAGAAAACCGAATCAATTGATTTTTATTTGATTTTTCGTCTTTGTAATTATCCTCATGGTCATCATGGTTTTAATATCATTATCAACATCATCAGTAATCATGAAAAGGATCTGTTATTATCACCATTAGCTTCATTATCATTGTAATTATATCCTTTTCCTTATTGTCCCTTCATCATGTTATCATCATTATCGGCTCACACTCTCTACCGTCTTGCTGTCAGGTAGCGGCTAGCAAAATATTCTTGCAGACTTCTGTAGGGAGATCGATCTTCGCGGGGTGCGCTCCATTTATAGCAATCTATCAGATTATATTTTGTATGGTAAATACCTATGAACACCAACCGTAGTCAAATGTCTAATAAAATTCGTCTCGCACACTAATTCGCTAGTGGAATAAATTCTATTTTTACTGGAGGACCTACAAATTGTGGCCTTGTACCAAACAAAGCTTAGTACATAAGTATCGACTCTTTCCCACCTAATTCTTCCTCCTCTTATTTCTTCCTATATCTCTTTGTTCACCTCCTTTTACGTGTCCCTCTCACATAACACTTCTTACTCTCCCTTACAGATTTCACCCATTCCTTCAACTCTTCCTCTTATTTCTCCTATTTCTATGTTTACTAGTTTTACTTTTTCTTTCTATTCCCTTAACCCCCCCCACTGTCCTTTCCCTTCATCTTTTGTCTCTCCTCCGCATTTTCTCGTTTCTCTTACAATCTTCATATACCACTTTCTCTCTTTTTCTCTGTTTCAGGTGTTTCTCTCTGATTTCAAATGCTTTTCTTCGTATGTGAGAAGGAAAAAAAGAAATAAAGAAAAAAAAATGGGTAAAGTAATACTGTGTAAATTCTGCTTACTTTGGTTTAAACGCACACACTAGCAAAGTTCTCAGTGAAAATCGAACTCACTAACAATAGATTACTAGATTAGCTGGACAGACAGAAAAGACTTTAGGACATCGTACAATTATAGAACACCTAGTGAGGATCGAACTCACTAGTTATGAAGTGTGACAATAGCTTACAAAATATCGATTAGCGGCAGGTGCTCATAAAAACAGTATTATACTGATGTTAGATTGATAGAAAAACTTTGAACACTCTTTGTCTTGTCATCAATTCTAACATGATTAAGCTATATCTCAATCTTAGAACTGGTGATATCGAAATATAACAAGATCAAGATATCGAAAAATCAAGATATCAAGATATCTCAAGATATAATTCTTGAGATATCAAAATATCTCAAGATACATCTTGCTATATCAAGATAAAGTTCGCGATATTAAGATATATCAAGATATCAAAATATAACAAGTTCAAGATATCGAAATTTTCTTTCGAATTAAAACAAAAATAATTTTTGTTGTTATTTTCTTAATATGCCGCCTTTTAACTAAATTGTGCATATCATCTAAAAAGATTCTGTTTTTGATTCGACGGAGTTTTACATGAATTTTTCAATATGTTGAACTTATGAGAGTCGGTGGCAAGATTGACTGAAACTAGTGAAGGTCGAGAGAATATTTCCTTTCCGGTTCCATGATCGTTTGCTATGTCGTAATTGCAACATGAGAACAAGAGTCTTCATGTATATTAGTCACTAGACGGTGCTGTAGTTTGTGATTTACGCCAGAAAATATCCGACCTCTGAATCGAATTTAATGTACATCAGGAACCTATGACCTAAGAATAGTTGATCTGTGGTGACCCTAATATGTAAAGTGCTCTTCTTAAGAGATACCAAAGTAAGTTTTCTACTCAATTTCAACCAAGAAAGTTACCCCCCCCCAAAAAAAACCCAAAAAACTGGGAGCATTGATGGTTAATCTAGAAGGGTATCTCAAAGCCAATAAGTTCAGAATTGAGACTGAAGGGATGTCAGTAGGTGGATCAATATAAATAGAGAAGGGTACATAGCTGAACTTAGGATATACACCCCAAACAACCAAGTAACAGGAAGTTATATAAACAACCTACCTATGAAGAGAGAGCAGAATCTTTCACTCCCTCGCATGAAGAACATCGAACGTTTGAACAAAAAACAACCCCAAAACTTGTAGTATTGTGTAATGAAGAATTACGTTTGAATCCCACCAAACAAGATGAATTTTTTTCGTCTGTTTATTTTAGGGTGGAACGTGTTCTATTCGTAGCCACGATTTTTTTTCATTTAACGTCTTTTTCTGTGTTGAGCAAGAAGAGAAAAGCAAGCGTATAAAAATTGTAAGTTCAAGAGGAACAAATTTACTTTTTGGTTGGTTCATTTTAATATGTCAACTCTTGGGTAAATTAATGTTGAATTTTGTATGGGGCATCCACTGAGAATCAAGGTAACTTATTTTAGGTGCCGTGTCTCTTCTGGACATGAACGATCATAACTCTCCACAACTTCCTACCCTTTATATCGCTTAATATCTTTTGTTCTTTTATTATTCCTCTCAATTCCTGTTTTGCCATCCATTTACACAAGCATGTCAGGCAGGTTATTCGCTGTTTCCATCTATCACAATTGCCTTCATCATATCTTGTGAGTGATAATTTTTTTTAACCTTTCTTACACTATTATATGTCATAGAAATTTCAACTGCATCTTTCTGATTCTAATCATAAGAGTCCTTTTTGTCTTCATTTTTCTTAAAATTCCCTAGTTGCACATATATTCTGTCCCTAGCATTTTCTTGTAGAATTACGGCTCTACAGCCTCAAGTCCCTTCTTTAGCTGAGAAAATTATCCAGCATTTACTTCCATAATGTTGATATTAGATTGACAGATAAAACTTTGAACAACGCTTTCTGTCTTGCCGCCACTTTTAACAGTTTAAGATATCGAAAAATTCATGAAAGAATCTTTCGAATTACTTAGCCA